TCTTTTAACGGAAACAAACAATATCTAATCGGCGGATGTCTAGGCATATCTCTTGATTTTTTGAGATTTCCTCTAATCGTTACTATATACTATATACTCTTATCAGTACATAGTACACAAGCTAATGGCACTAATGGGATTGAGTGAGGATTGAGTTTGTTTTCCCCCAGTTTTGACTTGGCTTTGACATGGAACGATGAAAACCGAGGGCCACCTGGTAACATTGATTCCCGCGAATACGCCACGCTATTTTTACAAAGTAGGCAATATCGAGAGATTACGAAACTCCTTTCAATAACACCATTTGACTTTCTATACATCTATTGTCTGATGATCTGTCTGATTTTGGCTTGTCATAGTCATGGGGAATTACCTCGGAAATCGCTTACCCGAAGACTTTTCAGATATAATTTGACGAGAGATTCTACGTATGCATCAGGTATAGGTATTAGCTAGAAAAGTATAATCGGTTTTGTTAGATATTACAATGATAAAAATTGGAAAATTTCGCATATAACAATTCCTTTCTTCGAAAATTCTGCACACGAACAAATCTAACCTGTCACTGTCATATCGCTCTTGTGGAGCGAGAGCGAACAGAATTTACAATACTGCCAACAGCGTGCTGGATTTCCTGGATGTTCCTGATATTCCACTGGATATTCGCAGAACGACGGAAAGCCATCTCATAAATATTTCGCGAAGGGATATCTGTTTCGCGGAGAATAAAAGGGTAGTTTTTATTTCAAACGGGAGTAGTTTGTTTATTTGAAACATCGTTTCCAATTTCCGGTACAATGACGGCTTTCTCCGATAAGGAAAATGTTTTTCCAGGCATTATGGAGCAATTACAGCATCCAGAAACGAATTTTTTTGGGTATATAATCTTCAAGGAAGATATACAATAGCGATAATACTAATAGTAAATGAATATATATATATTTCGCGAGAGTAGACGCTAAAACGAATGCGGGGAAACGTAACGACTGTTTTTTATATCACATAAAATGTCCAGAAAAAATGTTTGCCAAATTTAACGCCCTGTAACTTTTCCAATTCTTCCCCGAATTTGGTGAAATTTCGACCAAATTGTAGGTATATTTATGTCTAAGATGTTAGTTCCCAAGAAAACGTGATGGTTTGATCATTATACAGGGAAAACCAAAATTTACTCTTTCACCCTCAACTCCTTAACGCCCTGTGGTAAAAGTGATTGGTTGAACTTATAACTTGATTGAACACGATGATTTTTTGTTCAAGTTAATATCTTTTATTTTTGAGATGATATACAAGTCTTTCAAAATAGTATGGGATTTTTTAATTTTAATTGCAGCAATTATTATTCAGAGAATATATAATTTTGAAATTAGCTCCAGAGGCGTATTCGCCTTCGCTCAGCCTTACCTTGCGTTGCCCTTCAAGAAGAATTTGAAGCATATCATTCCGAAACATTTATTCGAAAATCCACCAAAATAGAAAAAAAAAAGTTCCTGGGCCGATCAATTTGGGTAAATTTTTTGTGGCCGTTTTTCTTTCGTCGTTGAGTGTATTATGTGGATTATGAGATTGGTATGAGACCTCAATCGATATAAGTCCTATAATCATGTTTCAAGTAATGTTCCATTATCCGTTGTCGCCCGCGATATTCTAAATTCACCTTTCGATTGAAAATGCAATGATGATAGTTTCAGGCGACCCAGTATTATGATAAAATTGAATTTATGCGATTTTTCATTATTGTGAATTGTTTACAACCTCAAGGAAGTTATGTATTGGAACAGAAGTATTATCTTCTGGTGTCTCTTCATGTCAAAACAAACTGTTGTTTCAGTTTACTCCAACAACGAGTGTTATTCCCAACTTACTACTAACAGCTTTCTGAGCACATTCCCGGACGAATAAGTCCGGAGTTTTCATCATTATTCGAACAGCCCCTTCATCCCTTCTGCTCCCTTTCTCATCACATCGCTGTCACGGGATTATTCCGATTTTCCCATACAATTCCCAGAAAGCAATATGTAATGGCGTGCAGCATATTGCCATTGTTAGTTATAGTCACAGATTTCCATGATATTCAAGATTTTCGATAAGGCTAAATCCATATTCAGCTCTCGATAACGTCAAAAAATGTTTTCTCAATGGCTGATGATGATTGCACGCTGGTTCAAAACATGCTGGAAAATTGATTTCAAGAAAATAATTGGAAGGAAAAATCACTCTTATTGTTACTTTCTTATTCAACATGATTCATCCGACATAATATGCAATTATAGGTATATCATATTGTTATGAATCATTAAATCATTTCATAAGTGCGAACGTCTCGGGCGACGTATATAGGGTTTATTTGAAAGAATATAAAGTGAACATGTTTTTCATAATACTTTTTCTTGAAATTGATGTTATAACCAACACAAAATTGTTTCTCCAGCATCATATACATATAATTCTCAAACTGCGAACTGTATTACATGAAACATCATACTCGAGGGTTACTGAAATTTAATGAACATGTATTTTCTTTTCCCTACTTCGAGTTTCATGCCCTAACGCCGAAACTTTCTAGTCGCCACAAGCAGACATGAATAATGATAAAGTTGTTGGTCCTATATCGATAAGTAGATCTAATATACAGTGCTTTTCTTCAATGCCCCCCCTTTTATTTTTTGAACGGGTCGACTAAAAGAATTGAAACTCAGGGTAATGAAATTGATGCATGAATACCTACTACATTTTGGAGTGAAATTGACAGATGAAGAATCCAAGATGGCGGCAGGGCGCCATCTGGAAAAAAATTAAATGGAAAGACGGGTCTCTTGATATATCATTTTGTGCTGCAAATAATACTCTGATTTTTAGATACATTTTGCTTAAGGTGATTTGGAATCAGCCATTCATTGATTTTAGGAATTATTTCTATGTCTGTATTATGTAATGAAGTTGTCTTAGAATCAGAGTGGTAGAAGGTTGCTTCCTCCGCAAACATTACACAATTCATGAAATCCATGTGTAAAAATAAATGGTTGACATATATAACAAATAATAAAGGACCCAGTACTGAGCCCTGTGGGACTCCATGGTTTATAGGATGAGGTGTTGAGATTTTTGAATTGTAGACACTTTGATTTCTGTTTGCTAGATAGGATTTGAAAAATTCTAAAGCGACTCCTCTAACTCCATAATATTCAAGCTTGTCAAGCAAAAGCTGATAGTACGCACTTCTCGACGCACTTTCGTGCATAATATGCGTTTTACAACTCATGCTATGTAATATACTAGTGTACCCAAAAAAAGTGCTGAACCGTTACCACCGATAAAACAAGGCCAGCAGACTCTGACGTAAACAGCTCGTGACGTCGCATACTCAGGCCATCTTCCAAGGCATTCGCGTCGATCGATCGTCAGTTTGTTTTTGTTTAAGAACGGTGGCGTAGGTAAATCGCGTGTGCTGGAATTCTCTTGTTGTTTATTCATCAAAATAATTGGCGGAGAAATTACTGTTTTGTGAAATATTTCGTGTTGTGGTAGGCGAAATAACAATGCCTTACAAGTGTTGTGTTCCCTTTTGTCGGGGGAATTATGTGGGTGGTCCAAAAGTTCATGCTTTTAGTTTCCCGTTGGACAAGGAACTATCGAAAAAGTGGGTACATGCAATTTACCGCAAGGATTTTACGACTCCATCTAAGTACAGTAAAGTATGTGAATTACATTTTACTAAAGATGATATTATTACTACTACTACTGCAACCGATTCAGAAACTGGCAAAACTGTAACAATAGATTTGAAAATTCCTTGAGATACTAGAGACTAAAAATTTGGCACAAGCACTTACCAAAAGTAAAACTGAATTCGAAAATTACCAAAAATCATTTTGCTACACAGAATTTCAAGAATTTCTAGTTGTATTAGAGTCTTTTCAGTTGCCGGAAAAGTGGTTCAAAATTATCGATTTGCAAAAAGTCACATTATTCAAATTGTCTTATTCTCCAGGGCCCTTAATTACATATTCGGTTGTGATTGATTTTGTTTTGAATGTGGAAACATTTTTGTATGACCTAGCGATACAAACATCTCTAAAAGCCAATCTGAAAACACCTTTTATCTCTAATAATATCAATCAAATCAAGGAATTACTAATTGAAATAGATAAAAACGAGATACATAATTCGGGAAAATGTCTTGATAATCAGAAAAAGAGGGTTTTGAAACATATTTCGAATGCATTGGACTCTTTGGTTTCTGACTCAATACATTCTCAAACTTTCTGAAAACGGTCATTTGCCTCGTGGCAATGAATGCAGAATTCATTCCAATGAACAAATTGCAACTATTATATCAACATGTACTACAAACACTCTACTTAAAAATTACTGTTTCAAGTCTAACGACCAATTGGGTAAAAAATCCAACAACAGGAAATTGAAAACACTCACTGGCTAATTTTTTAGGTAATAGGAATTCTCCAAGATAAATAAATATAGGTAATTAGGTATAACAAACGGCATGTCTATCAAACTAAAATACATTTTTCCCAATTTTCTTTCGATCAATCTCATGATAAGTTTATGTTCTGCGGGCCCTGTATAAGTAGGTGTGAAGTTTACCTCTAATGAGATTGAATCACTACAATTTTTGCCAATATATTTAATTCGAATGGGTTGCTGTAGGTGGGTATTTGTGTTTTATTCTGGTTTTTGCTTTGAAACATCGTTTTTCCATAATAAAATCGAATGGGATGCGAAGAAGGGCTCAGTTGGCGGCTGGCATCCTCTTTCAACCGGAAGCCCTTCAAAAAAAAGCAAAATCGGCTCAATAATGATCTAAAACTAAAATCGAAATACGCGGTCGCCTTATAGCGCTATAAGCGCTTGTCGTTTCGAGCCGCTGGTTAGGCCTGACTAAGTGACGTCACCCACGGAGCATGCAGGCCTTGTTTTATCGGTGGTAACGGCTGAACGCGCCTAAACAAGTTCTCACTTGAAAAAACTGATTCACTCACCGGCAAGGAAGAGGTCCTGCAGGGCCTGCACCGCCTGACAGAGGACGGCCCACGATTCGGGCTCGGCCAGGCCCGTGGGACGGGCCGCCAGCAGGTCCCCGACGCTGGGCCGCGGGGGGTTAGCGGTAGGCCCGTCGCCGGAGCGGCCGCCGCCCTTCCTCGTACGGGACATGCTGAAAAAACAAATGCTGGCATTATTTTGATTATCCAATTATTCTTTGAACATGATTGTGTGTAGACCAGTGCCGGATTTATACTTTTCACTAGTAGGGGCCCCTTCACTCAAATAAATAGTATGTGTTGGATTGACAGAAAAATGTGTTTAATCAACAACATCATTATAATTGTTGAAAAAAACTACAATGGTGATACATTCAATGATTAGAGGATCGTCAAAACAATTGAGGAAAAATTTTACATGAACAAATTCAATGTCAACCAAAAGTATTAGTTGATTTAGATCGAGATTTAGATAATATGTTTGTGGTACAACCAATAATTTGTAAAAATCAGTCGAATCGAACTGAGAATATTATTTCAACAACATGATAACTGTAACTGAAATATCATAATAGCTCGCTCACTGTTATATTAGTAGACAAACTGATAGAAAGGTATAATCAACATATAAGTATTTCAAATCAAACCAAAGATAGTATTTAAACTTTATTGTATTGTAACCAGAATATCATTACAGCTTGCCCACTGTTAAAGTTGGTAATCAAACGAAAAGGAAGGTAAAATCAACCTGCAACTATTTCAAATCACTCTAAAGATAGTATTTAAACTATATTATGTTGTATAACTAGTACATTATTACAGCTCGTTCACTGTCATAGTTGGTAGACAAACGAACAGTAAGTTAAAATCAACCAACCTTCTTTGAAGGGTTGACAATGAGCTTGTGATCTTCCCATTGGAATTTACAGGGCGACAGCGTTTACATGAGATTTTGTTGCTGGCGTCTCATTTTGTTCTCTGTGTTGTAGCTTTATATTATTTTGATATCGTTTTACGTTATACCTATTCTGCAATGAAGTGATTTTGGTAAGTCGATTATGTAATCACTGTATACTGTATTCAATATCGAGTTGTAATTTAGTACTAAATTTGGTAATGATTTAACACACTGTATGAAATTATTGCTAAAGTTCGTCTCTTTTTCTCAGGACTCCTCCCTTCAATTTTTGAATCATTTAGTACAGAAGAAGTGGATATATCCCCAGGGAGGTTGCATTTGACAAGTACCAGAACCATACAAGAAGATTGAGAAAATTTTGAAATCTTTGGTCAAGGAGTACCACTGATGTAGTCTTCCCAATTGATAATCATGATGAGGAAAGTTCATCAGATGATCGTAATTATGTGATGGTGAGTATTATTCATGAATTCAATCAATTCAATATCAAATTCATATTTCGATTCTACACATCTCTTGCAGGAAGAAGATGATAAACTGTGGTAGCAATTAAATAACGTCCATTGAGTGTCATAAAGGATGACACTCAAATAACGGAGACGAGAAATTACAAATGAAGAGAATTATACTGTAGATATTTTGTAAAGTTGACCACCATGTAATGAATGAACTTGATGTTTATTCGAAATCTGTATCAATTCAGTGGTACAAGAACCTGAAAAATAGTCAATATAACTATATCTACTATGCACTTTGTTGGTGAACCAAATATTATGGCTATCTATACAAACTATAAGTAAAGGCACAAAAATTATGGTTAACATTTTGTTGTGAGATTAAAATCTGGTTGATAACCAATTTTCTTGATCAAAACAACAATTCCATTCGTATGGTGACTAAACATATTTAACCATTGTTCGCTGGTTGATTCAATTATCAAACCAGATGGCTCATGTTTATATGCTCTTTTTGGTTGATGTAACTCATCAATTTCTCTGAGTGTTCATACGCGCCGTCCCTTCATCTTTCCTAGAACCCACGTATCAAGCTTGGTTTACTGCTGGGCGATTTTAGCTTTGGCGATGCTAGCTATGAAACCTGGCGTTATTACTTTCGTTATTACTGATCAATTTGAATTGGTAATAGCATCGCCAAAGCCAAACTCGCCCAGCCTCACTCACTTATAGGCTGTTATTAGGTACCATATTAGGACCAGATTAGACCAGATCAGGCCCAGACCAGATCATACTCAGACCAGATCATACTCAGACCAGATCATACTCAGACCAGATCAGACTCGATCACTTATTGGAAACGGCTGTCTTGTATTTTCCACGTCAAAAAGAACAGTAGCTACCTATACCAGTGGATTCATAGTATATTACACATCGAGGTGGAAAGAGATTCATTCCTGTCGTGAGATTAGTTAGTTAACCGAGACATAAAGCGTCGAGGTTAGCTATGATCTCGAGACAGGAATGAATGAGGAGCTCCCAGGGCTGAGCTCACTAGGCTTACCAAATAAATGTGAGGTGTAAGAAATTCAAGAAAATTGCTGAATATTTCTGGTTCTGAAGATGGATCATCCTCAAAGAGGAGTACCTATATTAATTTGTAGAAATTCAATGCACAAACTTCAACAAGTGATCAAGCAAGAGGAGAAACAATTATCTTCAACAAGTACTAGTTGGCTTGAACGAGATGAATTTTCTTATTGAATTATATAAGTAAGCTTTTTTGTGTTTTCTGTTTGTAATATTGCATCGAGAAGGATGTTGCGCAATTGCAGCATTGAAAAATTAGATAACCGAGAATTAAAATTTTTTTCGATTGTTTTTTTCGAAATCATCAATAATATCATCATAGCCTTTTGTGTCCGTTATGTCTGCTTTTTTGCATAGAGAGGCGAAGAGTTTAGTTTTTCTTGAGATAATGAAGACCTTTGGTAATACTTCAATAGTTTTGAATATGAAAAACTCCAGAACAATTTGTGGCCGACCGGCAAAACGCTATGCAGAAAGCTATGTCTAGGTTCGGGTAAACGCTTCATAGAGATTGGTTCCCCGAAAACGTAGAAAGATCCAATAATGATGTAGATTTATGTTATTTTACCGTCTTATTAGAGAAAACGAGGCTGTGAAACTGTACACATTCCTGAACCGAGTGATCCTCCAAAATCAATGTTATAAAATTACACGAGAGTATCAACTTTTTTGTGATTTTTTTCTTTTGCTTACAAGACTGAGGGTATTTGACAGTTCCAATACTTTTCTCCAACCACTGCTACCTGTCCTATACCCTCTATAATATACCTAATTGATAGCATCTAGAACCATACCTTGGATATTTGAAGACATTTCATCACGTCATAAGTCTAAATAAAGACATCAGCATCATAACAAAGAACGTAAATAACTGGCGCAACGCTTACCAATATCAGGCATTCAGTCACTACTTCAAAACAATCCACAACAAAACTAAAGATTACAGGTACGTACACACTTCTTCATGAAAACTGATTCTTCAATCCAGACAAAGGGTCACTGACGCCAACATCATCTGGGAAGGATTTCATGCTTGTGCAATGTGCCGTTTGTACACTGAACAAAAGGCCAACGCCAACTTATAACTGGCGTATATCGTTTAACATGGCACATGGCACAGAACTAGAAGGTAGGAAAAAGGCAAAAAGTAACGACAACGACGATATTGAACTTGATCGCGGATGATCGCAAGGTTCGGTTTACCTCTCTTCCTTTGGGGCGATGTATGGTTGTGCGTTGTGCCTTGTACCACTTGTACCTTGTGCAACAGGTGCATAACTTGCGCATGGCAGGTACACAAGGGGGGGTTTCTTTGATAGTGGTTCAGCCTGTAGTGCTTAATATGATAAGCTGAAAACTTTTTATATACATATGGCCTGAAATGCAACCCTCATGTCAAGTTGATGGTTGATGAGTTCAGGTGGTATGGTTGTTCCTTTTATGATGCCAATAATGTTAACGGTGAAAGAACATTTTTGGCACGTTTTGGGAATTCAACTTGGTGAATGAGATGATCTAATTCACTTTCCCAACATGGGTATTTAATTTATTAAACTAAAGGAAATTCAAGCAATTGATGGGATGGGGTTCTGTTGGTGTTTGGTCTTGTAATGAAAGAGATATTTTGATGTGATTATATATTTGTCTTGTTTAGTTCAGTGGTATCCCAGAGTGGAACGCAGTTGATATATATTTATGGAAAATCATACCTATCATACCTCATTTATTATGAACAAATATACACATAATAATACCAATGCCAATGGCAATGCAAAAAAACATACTGGGTAAGATCACGTCTGAAAATTTGTCATTATCATCTGCCGGTCTATTCGTTTGAATATGTTTTTTTTTGTTTTCTTTTTTGTTTTAATGACAGCCCTCAGTGACATAAGTTGAAAGAAGAATGTGAGTAACATGATGTTCTTATCAATTGATTTTGAATTCACCATTCACGATTAGAGAAAACTCAAAAAATCAAGGGAAATGCCTAGACATCCGCTGATTAGATATTGTTTGTTTCCGTTAAAAGATGAGAAACTGGTTTTGCTCATTTCGGATAATGTCCAAATTTATTTTCAAGGTTCCATGGTGTAATGGTTAGCACTCTGGACTTTGAATCCAGCGATCCGAGTTCAAATCTCGGTGGAACCTGTATCTTTTTATATAGAATCTTCTAAATGCATACTTCACATGCACTTTCTCAAATTCTTCATTTCGTTGATAAGCTCAAGATATAAATCACATAATTATTATCATAATCAAGAACAGACAAGATAGGTAGGAGAACTCAGTTTCCTGTAGTTTTTTTTTCATTTCATTATGGATTATTGATTTTTTTTAGGTATTTTAACATTGAAGGTTAATGGGTAGAAATATGTTGTACAACAACCCCTGAAGGTTGAGTATAACGGCAATACACAGAGAGTACACTTGCGCTGCAAAAAAGATCTTTTCGATGCGACAGTACGTCCAGAATCTGGGAATAATGACAGTTACCAATCTATATATATGTACATAAAGCTAGCTTGATTATTTTCGAAAATAAAAATCTTCTGCTTACTCATTCACAGCTCGATACAAGAAATAAGGAATCATACCTTCTACCAAAGTTCAAAATTAATTCAAACCGAAATAATGTTTTCTATATGATGGGCACTAAAATCTTCAGATGCCTTCCTAACTCACATTGTGATAATTTGAAATATTCAAGC